CTTGTCAGGCAAATCATGACTTCGCAAAAAGTCGAATTAATGACCTAGTTTTTTGCGTGCCAAAAGCCGCGTGGGCCCGTTTGACGCGCAGTTTTTAAAGGTCCGTAATATCGGAACAGCTTGTGCTTTTGCACTTTTTACCTACATGCTAGTAGGGTGCCATGACAAAAATTTCAGCTGAAGACCTTGCCTACAAAACGCTCTATGAATTTCGTGACAGACAGACATAAACACACACACACACAGACAGACACGCGCTTTATTATAAGTCATGATAGATCTGCCTTTCGAGGGATTTATCTGCAGTAGAACTTATCATGACTTATAATAACGGGCTAAGAGTGTTTACGTGACTTTGTGTGTCTGTGTGTCTGTTACGAAAATCGTAGAGCGTGTTCCAGGCAACCTCCTGGGCTAAAATTTTGCACAGCGCATGCTACCCGCGTAAAAGTCCAACATGCAAAAGCACGAGCAGATTCGTTGAGTGGATCCCTCAGAAATGCGCCTCGGACGGATCCACTTTGTATTTGGGCCGCAAAATGGGGTCCGTAATTCCACTTCTTGCAGATTAGTGGATGTTTACGCCAAGTAAATGTGCAAGCCATGCACTTAGGCTCAAAAAAGTAATCAAAAGTCCGTTACTTTACAAAAACGGCGCCAAAAAGTATTGGTTGCGTAAATGGTCAACTTTCTAAGGTTTTACCAGAGCATTTGACGAGATTTTTGCACAAAGATGCAGCTCACGGTGACTGCTGTTCTTAATGCAACTGTCAAGACCATGGGAAAATCAAAAACCTATCAAAATTTGCGTTTTTTCTCTTGCAAAAAGTCTCATCCATGCGAAATCACCGATTTCACACAAAAAAGCTTTCGGAATGAGTAGTTGTTTACATTTTGTTCGTGATAGTCGGCACTGCCCGGTGAGTTCCAATGCATCATTATGCGAGAATTGAGTAGGGCCTAGATAATAAAGCCAGTGTGAGCCTCTGCGAAGCAGAGGTGACGCACTGGTATGCTTATAGTATAGAATGATGTTCGGTTCAAACCTTGTTGCGACACTCAACATAGAAGTACATGCATAATGGTAGAATGCTGTTGATAAAAGGATTAACTAACAAGCCTCTAGGCGATGTGCTTTAGATCGCGAGTTGGTGGTTTCAACGTGGTTAGGCGTCTAAGCGCACAACTGATACCGTAATTTCAGCCATATGGAACAGACGGCCCATATTATTTCCTGATTACAGGCAAACCTATGCATGCTTACCTCTTTTTACAGCTATAGCTAGCTTTCTATAGCTCCGTGTAGGGAACATCAGTAAGCACCCGGTGATAATTTTTCATGTCTCTAGCTAAACAATCTCAGCTGATGAGTCTAAAGAGTAATGCATGCTTTTTATTTGCGATACCGTCAAATGGAAGAAAAAAACTTTCAGGATTGCACTCTTTATTCATTAAACGACTTCGTAAAAAATATGAAAGTCCATTTTACCAACTTCGTCAGCAGCAATACTCATTAAGTCCTGAAAGTGCACTCAGATTGACTTAATTATATCTACAGACTGGGGAACGAGAATTTGTGATTCTCATCATCCTCAGGGAGTAAACGCTCGAAAAGCCCTTAATTTATGTAAGAACTAGATTTCCAAAATCATGCGATTGGGAATGCAACTGCATTCTAGAGCACTTCCATCGATTTACGTTTATCATGGATGACCAAAGCCAACCTTTATCTTAATTTCATAGGAGAAAAAATTTGAGGAGCTGATTAGGAGATAACGGTACCGTAAGTTCAAACGGAAGCGTTGGGCTGAGCTTAAGCTTCCTTATACTCAAAGGCAGCGGCTCGGCAGAATGACAAGTTTGGGATATCCACCGTTCTCGGTTCCCCTGGATAACCTAAGTCCAAGACTATGCTTTGCAGCTCCAAAAGATCAATAACCCGCACTTCCAGACGTGAAAATTGCTGTATGGGCGGGTTGCGAAAGTGGCTGCTGGAGCCAATAATCCATTTGCCGCGGGGATGGGTACGGTGTCTCCAATAGCGAGCCAATCGCGCTCTAGAAGGCAAGCATACGCCGTCCGCCCAAACAGCACTTTTCACGTCTGGAAAAGAGGGTTATTGAATCTTTTGAAGCTGCAGAGCACAGTCTTGGACATAGCCCATCCAGGGGAGGTCGAGGACGATGAAAAATCCAGTTGTCATTCTGCCGAGCCGCTGCCTTTAACGTGCAGCGCTTATGTTTAAAATCAGCGACCGTAATTTACTAAAGGCAAAATTTCCAGCTTTTCTAAAGTGTTTTTGGGCAAATCTGATAATGGTACAAAACATTTTTCAAATACCACCTAAAGTGTAACATAGAGTGATGAAATGAAATCGATGGCTTAGTGTAGATCTAAGCTGAACCAGCTCTACAGATTACTGCCTCGAGGCGAAAGACTTTAGGACAAGAAAGGTACTATCGGTCAAACAGTGGGGACATTCCCCAGGTATAAGAAGCAAGTTCGAGTGTAGGGTGGCCATATTCATCTAAAAATCCGCATTTCTGTTCAATCACTGCTGCATAGGAAATTCTCTTTTCAATATTCATAGTGTGTAGCAGTAATCAAAACTCAAGAAAGCTATGCAGAATCAAGGGCTTCCGCAGCAACCTAAAATTATGGCTTCCATACCTCTCGCCGCGCAAATTTATTGGGAAACCTTCTTTTGAGGCAGAATCGCCGAGAATTACTGAGCTTCTGCTGCTCGACACAATTAATCAACCTCTATCTTGAATGCCAGAGCTGATGCCTGATTTAAAAAGTTGTGTTTATGTTAGAATATGAAGTACAACTTCCAAGATCAAGAAATAGTTTACCATTCAAAACAAATACGTATTCCATCGTCGAAGCAAAAGCGACTACAAGACCAGAGGGTAGTCAAGAAATAGCACTCATTACTAACGAGTCATAGCATAACATTTTCAATAACGGTACAAATAAGGCAGATATTCGCTTAAATATGATGGTTAAACAAAGAAAATATCTTGAATATGAGATGCTGCATACTGATTTACATCACTACGCTATAAAATAAATAAGATGGTAGAAATACAATGACATCAGAAGTCAGACTTTAGACTACATTGAATGAATTACGAGGATATTGAGAAAGTTATCGGCTGATCTGTGTTCCTGCGGAAAAGTTGTACCAGATTTTTGGTGGAGGTTTGCGAATGTGAGAGAAAAAGCACTTGCCATGCTTCAAAATTTACCACCACCTACCTTAAAGGTAGTGTCTCACCAAAGTTGAGTTGCGTGGATCTTCACATATTCTATCATAGGGACCTCTAAATAGGCCACTGCAACAAGTCCCACTCAATTTGACCCCCTCCACGCTGAGAAAAATTCGCTCAAAGTGGTACGCGGAGAGCGAGCTGGTACGCGCGGACGACTCCTTCGGTCTCCCCCCTTACGCGTTTGAACATGTCCCTCCACTTGGCATCCATCTCCCCTCTGTTGCTGCCACTGTGGCTGAGCCTGAAGTTGGAAGGTACAACTCGTCCACGTCGCTTCCACGGGGCCTCCAGAAAACGGGGTTTTTGGGAACTTCATGCGATTTTGAGCCCATACAGTGCTAGACAGGGTCCGAAAGGCTTGCAAAATGCAAAAATCTCGGCAACTAAATTTTGGTGAGACACTGCCTTTAATCTTTACTGTTGCACCAATCAAAGCTGGAAAACCTAGTTTTCGCAAAAAGTAAGCGCATATTCAGTTTGACTGAAATGACTGGATTCCGAATACATGAATACTTTATTAGGAACTGTCCAAGTTATGCCAATGCTTTCGACTAAACTCTGTCATCGACGAAAAATAGTCATATATTTTGTGACAATCTTTCGAACCAGACTATTTATTCGACCGAGTAGTTATATTATAATACTGATAATTTTTGAAAAGGATGAAGGAAGAACATTTCCTGCCTTCTTCTTCATCCTAGATCTTACAGATTTCGACCAGCGCAGTTTCAGGGCTTGGGATAGTGGTAGGACATATGCCATTGACAGTACTCACATTATTATCTAGCACATTGGGGTCTTAATAAATCAAGATTTGAAACTTGTCTTTATCGACTGAATTTAAGGACAAGCCTTTACAGAATGTTGTTGAAGCAGAGTTAGAACTCTCTTCTCAATATATTTGCTTCCTAACCTTACAACCCGTTGTTGTCTAGAATTAACCTAAAGTTGCAGATAAGTCCGCTTTTTTGACAAGGAAAGATGGAAGTGCACTCTCGCGCCGCCAAGAAGCCTACAGATAAGTCCGCCATCATATAAGTCCGCTTCTTTTCTCAGATGAAAAACAGAAGAATTGGATGTATCACAACCTAGTGATACATCCAATTTTTCAAATGTGTCACTCGATTTAGTAAATTATCTCGTTCGAAAGATTGTCACAAAATATATGACTATTTTCCGTTGATGACAGATTTGAGTCGAAAGCATTGGCATACCTTGGACAGTTTCTAACAAAGTCACGTATTCGGAATCCGATCATTTCAGTCCAACTGAATATGCGCTTACTTTTTGCAAAACACTTGGTTTCCAGCTTTGATTGATGCAACAGCAAAGGTTAAGATGGTGGTAAATTTTAAAGCGTGGCAAGTGCTTTTTCTCTCACATTCGCAAACCTCCACCAAAAATCTGGTACAACTTCTCCATAGGAACACAGATCAGCCGATAACTTCTCGACAACCTAGTGATACATCCAATTTTTGCGCTCCTTTGACGTCCGAGCAAAGTTGTACGCAAAATCTTCTTTTTCGAAGTTTACCGTCAAAGTGCATAGGATCTTTCGCAATCCACAAGGACTTCACAGTCACGTGCTTACGGTAGAAAACTTATTTCGCAATGAGGGAAGTCGCTCACATACATCGGAGTCGTCGAGGTTTCCGTTTTTCATTGCGTTACGTTGCAAAAACAATTCCCTTCAGGACTTTTCCCTCGAGAAAGTGGACGTTAACAATGCTTCGCTCACATATGGAAAAATGCGACGCGGCTAGGGCGCAGTTAGATGAATGGTATGAACATAGAACAAAGGTTGAGGCGGAGCTGTCCAAGTTAGCATGGCAGGTACATTAGATCTTTGGTTGTGGCTGTTTTCTTTGTTTACTTCATTTGGTATGTTTAGTTCGATAAATGGGGACTAGATTCTCGGATGGAATCACTTGCGCTGCAGTCGGTGGAATCTCGTAGTGCCTCAGTCGGTCCAGTAGTTGGAGCTCGCGATGGTGCTAGAATGGCAGATGGTATCCCCTTCAATCTTCCACGCATTCACTATTTTCCGTGCCAAAGATCATGACATCACCTTCTGGCGCATTATGTAGAGATCTTCATACGCCGTAGATTTTTTTCCTTCAGGAAACTCGCGAAAGTCTCAAAATTGTAGTCAGAGACAAATCCCCGAAGGGTTAAGTCTATTGTCTGAGAATTCTGTCCTTAAAAGTGAAGATAAATTATTTTCAAATATTGAAACAGTTTTTCTCTTGTCCTTGAAGAATGCTGAGAATTGGGCAAGCTTAGTTTCACACCCTTTACATTACAATCTTATTTTTAGCAGAAGGTTCTTCATAAGTATTGGGTGAAATTCTCAAGCACTTATGCCCATATCAAAACTGCTTTAACCTTGTGACGCTGTAGCAAAGTAATACTTATTACAGTCACCAATATGCACCAAACATCTGCACTTTTGAGCGTCAACAACTCCCTGTTGAATCCATACTGTAACAGCTGGTCATTTATGTTTCAATGCAAACCAAATTCTGCCGGGTTCAGTCGACTGCATGCATAGAAAGCATAAGTGATACGTTTCCACTTGGTTCCGGCAGTAATTTTTAGAACGTGCCCTTGGAGAAGCAGCACAGGTGAAATCAAAGAATCAGGCCGTTGAAGAAGAAAGCATTACGGTACGAAGTACTAGGTCGTTTCATAAGTTCGTAGAGTTTTTATTTTTGTCACCGTTTTTCGATGAAGCGGTTGGTTTACGGCAAACCACCTGTACCATTTAAAAGAGAAAATCTTGCTCTACAAGAAGTGTTGTTCGTTTTTGGAGCAAACCTTAATCCCCTTCCTTGACGACTTCTCAAAGCAAAATTTTTTTAGAGGCAAAAATTGGCGATTTCGGCACCTCCAACTTTCGATCCATATACGGAGTCGCAAGTGGAACTTCTTCACCTTGAATTGTTAGATCAAAAACGACTGTTTATGGGACTACGATGCATGTAAAAGTCTCCTTATCTAAATAGACGCTATAAAGAAGGATCAAGCGCACACAAGTGTGTAGATGTTTTGCGTTTGGTACAATTTAAAAAAGTTCGCACTCCAAAAAAAATGAGGGAGCGTAAAATGTTGGCCAGAGCTTGTATTCATACATCTACATAACTTAGAAGAAAGCATCCATTCCTCAGGTCCCGATAGGAGGACCGATACATTCTGTCGCTAAACAACACGCAAAACTCAAGCGGCAGCAAGTAATGACAGCAACTATTTGGACCTTGTTCAAACGGTCCAAGCATACTGGCATCCTGCAAATTTGTCAGCATGCCAATCTTGCCACTATCCATTCCGCCTACATATGACAATAGCATTTTGTGGGATACCGACCAAATGCCGAAAGTGCAGTTGCCGAAATCGCCAACTTTTGCCTCTCAAAAAACTTTGCTTTGAGAGGTTGTAAATCAAAGGGGTTTAGATTTGCTCCGAAAACGAGCAACGGTTCTTGCAGAGCAGGATTGGCTCTTTTCAACGGTACAGGTGCTGTGACGTAAAACAACCACTCTATCGAGAAATGGTTACAAAAATAAAAACTCTACGGACTAATTAAACGACCTAATATTATGTTCCTTTCATTCATGAACAACTCATTTCAGAGGTGGATGGACACCGTTGTGGGACTTCTGCAGCGCGACAGAATTTTAACGAATAATCTTTTGAATTCCATCATAGCGCTCCAAACTAGCGCGATGATTCTTTCATTCGTGGGTGTTATGCTTATCAATATAAGGCATCATCACAGATCCGCCATTCTAGAAAATCAGGTGTGGTGTTTTTGATGAAGAAGGTCTAGATTCTTGGATGGGCATTACTGCCAGCTTGAGGGTGCGTAAGTTGTAAAGATTTGTCAAGTGACTTTTAGTGATCAGCCAGCTGGTGGTCTCGGCTTACATCATAGGAATAAATATTTAGGACATTACGAAGTGTCCTGCTCATAGAACAAAGATACCTGTCATTTCGGATATTATCAGGGCGTTGGCATTTGGCTTACCGTGGAATCTGGCAGAAATAATCAAGGGCATCAAGGTATGTTCACCTTGATTTAGAATTAGCAACGACCGCCATGTTGCAAGGTGGGGTGCCAGCTAATGTAGAAATTAGTCCAATTTGTCAAATTCAGACGTAAATTGCAAGCAGTGCTCTTTTTCATCGTGTTTCACCTATTGTTTAGTAGAGACACTTCTCTAATTAAGCTACTCGATAAAAATGTAACAAAATGCATATTTTTCTGAATGCATTTCTTGATTGACTGAACTTGTGAAGAACGAAATTCCTTTTCTTTTCTTTATTAGACTGCTGTCTGAAAGCCTGCTCCAAGCAGTTTGAGCATGGAAGACATCACGTTCAAACAAAATTCCTCTGCATTCATCTTCTAGCCATACTCAAGCCAACGCTTTTTCCCCAAAATCTCTTTTTGTTCGAAAATAAAAAAAAAAGTTTTGTCGTCCCTCCTAACGGAAATCCTGGGTACGCCACTACGTTATTTCTATAGTGCCGGATAAGGAAGAGGCTTGGAGGCAATCATTTCGGGTCAGCTGGTCCTCAGACAATCGCAAAATACAGTACCCACACTAATTATTCGACAGAAAACGCAAAAACTGACGATCCGCGTTTTTTTCGTTTTTTCTTCATAACTTCCTTCAAATTGCATAAAATACAAATCCGAAGAAAGCTTGATGCTCAGCTCGTCAAGATGAATCTTCTGATATATTGCACTTTCGTACTATTCTGTTTTCAATCTGCTCGATTTTTGTGTGAGGACGGGTATTCGTAGTGGTGTAACTCAGCGAAGAACACACATGGACGATTCAAGTAAACATGGGTCAGTAGTGTTGTCCCCGTAGATTATCATGTATTAGTGAGTAGCGAAAGATTCCCTTTCCATAGGGAAAGATAGGCCGTTTAATTTTGAAAAAATCGATGTCCTTCAAATTTTCGTTACCGTAACCCTACAGTAAGACGCTAATTTGCAAAGCAGGTGTGTTTTTCGTGATCAGCAGATTAGATAACCTCTATGCGCAAGTTTTTCAAGGAATTCAGAACTTTTCATTTTTTCTCTGTGAAGCTCGCCGATGGGTTTTGGCTAAAATATTGATGATCTTGGATTGACCGGAAACTTCGCCCATAGAGGTTTTCGGACTCGCTGATTACAGAAATAGTGCCCTCTGCGCAGCATAAGTTCTTTTGGCAGAGTTATGCTGAGAGGAATGCTGCGATACTACGCAAGTTCCTAAGTTTGTCTGCCCTTTGCGCGTGTCTGTTGGACAACTTACCTGCTCCTTTTTGTAAATTGAAATCACTAGAGGCAGTGCTCTTAGAGCATGCATACACTAGGCCTTTACCTATATTGGTCGCCGAACTGTGAGCTGACGAACTCACGTCCGCATGAAAATCGTTCGAAATTTTAAGATCGCACGGGCAAATATCGCCGCGAATGGTTACAGATGACCTGATTGCAGATATTATGTTTATATACAATGTTAATTGCTAATTTATGCCTCATACTGCTGCTTACCCCTTGTGCCAACTCTTACATCTGTAACTCAAAGTTTGCAAAAAATCGATAAGCCGATATCGACCGATGACGAAATGTAATCTATCAGACAGTTCGGCTCCTAAGGCTAGGTTCATAATAATTCCCGTGTTCCGGAACTGTTCCCGCACAGTCCCGCAATGTTCCAGCACTGTGCTGGGAACTGTGCGGAAACTGCAACTGTGCTGCATGCGCTGCAGCCGCCCCGCACGCGTTTTGAACGGAGGGATGGAGAATTTTGACCGTTTTCAACGGTTTTTCTTCCAAATTTCTCTCATTTTGACCTTATTCCTCTACCCCGCTCCTTTTTTTTTTTGATCAGCAGAGCTTCGAGCTCCAAGAGGGGTTAAACAATGAGCGCTTTTCTGTTCTGCATATGCGACAAAATGTGAGTTCTTGCGCTCGTCCATTTTATCTTCACTTCATTTTTACACAGACTCATTCCATTTGTTCCAGGAAGCCCCTGCGTAGTTTCCATAGCCATCTGCTATGAATTAGGGATTTGGAGCAATTCCGAAATTGCATGAATTGAGACTTGTCTCTTGTTTTGATGAGTTTCGTTTTTGGGCATTCTCCGCCCCTTTCCCTTTTCCCAAATCGTTGTTTCTCCTTTCTTTCTTCTATCCCGCTTCTCTTTGTGATGAGAAAAGCTGTGAACTAGCGGAGCTGAGGATTGAACGCGGTTCTCATCATGTATCCGGGAAGATGAACCTTCTTGCGCTCGTCCATCTTCTCTGCCATTTTTGTTGAGGTCTACTTCATGTGTTCTAGAGACCTGTCCATGTCCCTTTCAATACAGATGCGGGACTACGCAGCGACTTCTAGAACACATGAAGCAGGCCTGGGCAAAAATGGAACAAAATGGACAAGCGCAAAAAGAGCAATCTGCCCGGATATGGAACAGAACAAGGTTATTTCTTTAACTCGCTTTAATTTCACACCTTTTCTCATCACAAGGAAAGGGGCTGAGAATGGCCAAAAAGGAAACTCATTAGAAAACAAGAGAAAATTCCCAAATTATGCAACTTCAGAATTGCTCCTACTCCCTAATTCATGGCGAAAAGCGCTCATTCTTCATCCTCGCTTTGAGCTCGAAGTTCTGCTGATAAAAGGAGCGGGGTAGAGGAATAAGGTCAAAATGAGAGAAATTTGGAAGAAAAACCGTTGAAAACGGTCAAATTCTCCAACTCCCGCATCCGTTCAAAACGCATGCGGGGCGGCTGCAGCGCATGCAGCACAGTTGCAGTTCCCGCACAGTTCCCAGCACAGTGCTGGAACATTGCGGGGCTGTGCGGGAACAGTTCCGAAACATGGGAATTAGTATGAACCTAGCCTTAGGAGCCGAACTGTCTGATAGATTACATTTCGTCATCGGTCGATATTGGCTTATCGATTTTTTGCAAACTTTGAGTTACAGGTGTAAGAGTTGGCACAAGGGGTAAGCAGCAGTATGAGGCATAAATTAGCAATTAACATTGTATATAAACATAATATCTGCAATCAGGTCATCTGTAACCATTCGCGGCGATATTTGCCCGTGCGATCTTAAAATTTCGAACGATTTTCATGCGGACGTGAGTTCGTCAGCTCACAGTTCGGCGACCAATATAGGTAAAGGCCTAGTGTATGCATGCTCTAAGAGCACTGCCTCTAGTGATTTCAATTTACAAAAAGGAGCAGGTAGGTTGTCCAACAGACACGCGCAAAGGGCAGACAAACTTAGGAACTTGCGTAGTATCGCAGCATTCCTCTCAGCATAACTCTGCCAAAAGAACTTATGCTGCGCAGAGGGCACTATTTCTGTAATCAGCGAGTCCGAAAACCTCTATGGGCGAAGTTTCCGGTCAATCCAAGATCATCAATATTTTAGCCAAAACCCATCGGCGTGCTTCACAGCTTAGAACGAGAAAAAATGAAAAGTTCTGAATTCCTTGAAAAACTTGCGTATAGAGGTTATCTAATCTGCTGATCACGAAAAACACACCTGCTTTGCAAATTAGCGTCTTACTGTAGGGTTACGGTAACGAAAATTTGAAGGACATCGATTTTTTCAAAATTAAACGGCCTATCTTTCCCTATGGAAAGGGAATCTTTCGCTACTCACTAATACATGATAATCTACGGGGACAACACTACTGACCCATGTTTACTTGAATCGTCCATGTGTGTTCTTCGCTGAGTTACACCACTACGAATACCCGTCCTCACACAAAAATCGAGCAGATTGAAAACAGAATAGTACGAAAGTGCAATATATCAGAAGATTCATCTTGACGAGCTGAGCATCAAGCTTTCTTCGGATTTGTATTTTATGCAATTTGAAGGAAGTTATGAAGAAAAAACGAAAAAAACGCGGATCGTCAGTTTTTGCGTTTTCTGTCGAATAATTAGTGTGGGTACTGTACTTCCGCGGAAAACTGAACTTCTACTTTCGGGGCGGACCCTCCTACAATACCGCTCACATTTTTTGAAAAATAGACGCGAATGTATGGACATGTCCGTACATGTCCGTACATGTCCGTACATGTCCGTACATGTCCATACATGTCCATACATTCGCGTCTATTTTTCAAAAAATGTGAGCGGTATTGTATCGGGCCGTGTGGTGGGCCCGGCCCTACTGTCCGCGCCCTACCTAGCAGCCTCAATAGGAGTGTCCCCTGGAAGTTTTAGAACTCTAGCTTCCCCCGAAACTATTTTGCGATTGTCTGAGTCGGTTGTCAGTGACTTTAGCATGATTTCTTTCCTGGCGTAGACAGGAAAAGGTATTTAAGTGAGAAGGAGCACTAAGCTCTTTGAGTTGAGGTTAATCGCTTTGATGAGATTTTTCTGATTGAAGATAGGAGAGACTGCAGCAGGAGTGCCGAAGCTGAATAAAGAGGAATTTGGGAATTGCATGTTCCTGGGCTTGCTTCTTCGTTGGTGCTAACTCTGTGAAGTTTTGCGGCAGTTTGCGAACAGAAATTGCACTGATCTGCAAGTCACGATTCCTCTTGAAAAAGGGTCTGCGATTTCAACCTTGTGTCCTTTCAATGTCTCACATACCACTAATTTCCCTTGGCACGTTATCATAGGGATCCAAGACCCAAACGCATTGAGACTTGAGACGGAGTTGATTGAGATTTTAGTGTGGAGGCAGGGAGAGCTGATGTTTATGGCCACTGTTTTCGCGTTGACCTATAGCTTTGGTAGACTATCCTTTTATAGGATCTTGCAGTCGAAAGTCCGCACTCTCGTTGTGAAGCAGCTACCGAGTTCCATCTTTTCGTTGCCTGCGCCAAATTACAGCGTCAAGACGTTCGTTCCTTCTTGATGGAATATCTGGCCGGCTAATTATACCAATGTTCTAAACTACATCAATGTTGTACCCTTAACATGATGTAGTCTAAAGTCTGACTTCTAATGTCATTATATTTCTACCATCGTTATTTGTTTTATCGCGTAGTGATGTAAATCAGTATGCAGCATCTCATATTCAAGTTATTTTCTTTGTTTATCCATCATATCTGAGCTAATATCTGCCTTAATTGTGCCGTTATTGAAATGTTATGCTAATGAATCGTTAGTAATGAGTGCTATTTCTTGCTACCCTATGGTTTTGTAGTCGCTTTTGCTTCGACGATGGAATACTTATTTGTTTTGAATGGTAAACTATTTCTTGATCTTGGAGGTGTACTTCATATTCTAACATAAACACAACTTTTTCAAATCAGGCATCAGCTCTGGCCTTCAAGATAGAGGTTGATTAATTGTGTCGAGCAGCAGAAGCTCAGTAATTCTTGGTGATTCTGCCTTAAAAGAAGGTTTCCCAATAAATTTGCGCGGCAAGAGGTATGCAAGCCAAAATTTTAGGTTGCTGCAGAACCTTGATTCTCCATAGCTTTCTTGAGTTTTGATTACTGCTATACACTATGAATATTGAAAAGAGAATTTCCTATGCAGCAATGCTTGAACAGAAATGCGGATTTTTAGATGGATATGGCCACCCTACACTAGAACTTGCTTCTTATACCTGGAGAATGTCCCCACTGTTTCACCGATACCGATAGTACCTTTCTTGTCCTAAAGTCTTTCGCCTCAAGGCAGTAATCTGTAGAGCTGGTTCAACTTAGATCTACAGTAAGTCATCGATTTCATTCCATCACTCTCTTACACTGTAGGTGGTATTTGAAAAGGTTTTGTACCATTATCAGATTTGCCCAAAAACACTTTAGAAGAGCTGGAAATTTTGCCTTTAGTAAATTACGGTCGCTGATTTTAAACATAAGCGCTGCACGTTAAAGGCAGCGGCTCGGCAGAATGACAACTGGATTTTTCACCGTCCTCGACTCCCCTGGATGAGCTAAGTCCAAGACTGTGCTCTGCAGCTTCAAAAGATTCAATAACCCTCTTTTCCAGACGTGAAAAGTGCTGTTTGGGCGGACGGCGTATGCTTGCCTTCTAGAGCGCGATTGGCTCGCTATTGGAGACACCGTACCCATCCCTGCGGCAAATGGATTATTGGCTCCAGCAGCCACTTTCGCAACCCGCCCATACAGCAGTTTTCACCTCTGGAAGTGCGGGTTATTGATCTTTTGGAGCTGCAAAGCATAGTCTTGGACTTGGGTTATTCAGGGGAAGCGAGAACTATGAATATCCCAAATTTGTCATTCTGTCGAGCCGCAGCCTTTCAGTATACGGAAGCTTAAACTCAGCTCCGCTTCCGTTTGAACTTGCGGTAGCTTTATGTCCTAATCAGCTCCTCAAATTTTTCTCCTATGAAATTAGGATAAAGGTTGGCTTTGGTCATCCATGATAAACGTAAATCGATAGAAGTGCTCTAGAATGCAATTTCATTCCCAATCGCATGATTTTGGAAAGTCTTTTAGTTTATACATAGATCAAGGGCTTTTTGAGCGTTTACTCCCTGAGGATGATGAGAATCACCAATTCTCGTTCTCCAGTCTGTAGATGTAACTTAGTCAATCTGAGTACACTTTTAGGAGTTAATGAGTATTGTTGCTGACGAAGTTGGTAAAATGGACTTTCATTTTTTTACGAAGTCGTTTAATGAATAAAGAGTGCGATCCTGAAAGTTTTTTTTCATTTTACTGTATTGCAAATAAAAAGCATGTTTTTCTCCGCAGGCTATGAAATAAACCAGATTTTGCACACTTGTAGCAGAGCATCTCCAAAGTACAGGTAAATTGTATGGGCCCTTGAAAGACATAACAAAAAAGTTTTTCAAAATTGTCGGTGGTCATCGCTGGTAGAGATGAGCGCTTTTGTCAAGAGTGTGAGACTTCAGTGACGCTTCGAAACGAGGATTTCCACGCCATGGTACATTTAACATTCTTGTCACTCATACATGCCTAGTGTTTGAGCTTCTGAAAGTGTTTTTGGAATCTTCGGTCATATGTACTTGTGACCAGCAAGCTCATGCGACACCTTTTTTGCAGGGAGAAAAATGCTGTTTTTTGAAGAGTAGAGAATGTTTGCAACTAAGAATTTACTTCTTCATTCCCATTTTTTTCAATTCGGTCCACCCTGTCTTACGACCCCCCCCTCCCCCACCGCCGGTGCCCCCTTTACGACCACCCCCCCCCCCCGCTGCGGTGAGCCGTTCTGTTATGCTGAATTTTTCTTGGTTGTTATTTTATTTCATTATTTATAGGTAGAGTAGAGCTTAAACACCATTCAAATAAAATCGATGTTCTGTTTTGTCAGATAATGTCCTTTCCATTCATATTTTCCCACAATAAGCATAGCCAATTTGTAAATTTTACTACTTACCCAATCTGCGTATTTTATTTGTTTTTTGAGTGGTGAGGCATTACTTGCATTATCTCTCAATTTGTAAGTAGTTATCTTTCTCTGACCTTTGAATTTGATTGAGGTCCAGTGGCAGACATCTTTTGAGATTGACATTCGTTTATGCAGGTTGCCGCAAAAGGAAGTGGAGGAGGAGGGAGCTTAGGGGGGGGGGGGAGTCGTAAATGAGGATACCGGATCGCATCAGCACTCTTGACCCTGCTTCAGAGGTAAAACGAGAAAAAATTAAAAAGCCCGAACTTCTTATAAACTTGCTCATAGAGGTTCTGACTTGCTGATCATAAAGCTCCTGTCTGCTTAGCAAAACAGCTTTGTATTCTAAGGTTACGGCGAGTAAAAACTAAGACGGCCGGGGTATCCACAATTCACCAGCCCTTCTATCTCCTTGGGGATAAAGTCTGCTGATACTTTATAGCGATTCGTAATCGACAGTAGAAGTACTATCGAATCGTCCTTACTGGAGTCTACTAGGGGCAGTGCGCGCTACTTTACACCTTTGCAAAGAGACGTCCGCAGAAGATTGACGAATACTAGAATCGGGATATCAAGGGCATGCTGCATAAAAAAGATTCGTCTTGATGAGCTGAGTGCAATGCCTTTTTCGGACTCAGCATATGTTCATTCCGAAGGAACTTGTGCGTAGTTTGCGCGTGATTCGCGTGGATTCCGCGGATTTCCTGGAATGTCGCGGAATTCCCTGAATGTTGCAGAATTCCCAAAATGTCGCTGACTTTCACGGAATTTACGAATTCCGCTACATTCACGGTAATTTTGCACATTCTGAGAGTGGTACTGTATATAGTACAAGTCGGATTCTACATTTCTATCACGCGTTCAAGTCTCGAAATTTTACGCTATCGAAAGAAACGTTTATTTGAGAAATAACATCTTCTAGTACCAGTGCCAACCCTGGTTCATTCATATACTGTTATACTGTATCGCGCATTGAAACTTTGCATAAGCCTTTTATGCTGAGATATTAAGCATGCTGCTGAATCCTTCTCAACTCACTCCACCAATGGAAGTCTACTGCAACCTCTCTCACCGCAGACTTTGGAAAAGTAATGTATTGAAGAAGCGAGCGCTCTAAGAGAATACAGAGGAGATGTCGGTTAGAGAAAGTTTAAAGAGAAAATGCGCATCATAATGTGTCCGAAGGCTGCCCTTACCCTTCGTAGACTCGCTGAAGATGCGTCTGAATGACAAATAAAACACTGAATAAATATATTGAATCAGAAATTGTTTGAACCCATATTTGGCAAAGCATCGAGTATGCAAACGGGAAACTACATAGTCTCTTCACGTTGCATCACCGTCTGCGTCTCTTTTAATCTAACCCTTCACTCATCGGCTTACGGTCGCGACAGTCCAGATGATAATATGCAAGTCATTTTCCTACATATGTATTCTTTCTATATGTTTTCCAATAGAAAAATGTCCCGTTATCTTCATATGAAATCATATTGATAAAGCAAAGTTCTTATCTTAGTTGCAGATCTGATTTAAAAATCAATGAATTGTCACGAAACTACGTGCCTACTTTGTGAAATAACAACAAAATGAGCATATTTCTGATGACTTTGGTCAGAAAGTGGATATTGCAAAAGGGACTTTGAATAAACTTTTATGAGACTCTTTAAAAAAAGATCAAGTAAGTGTGAATGGTTGTGACGTACTCCTCAAGTTCCAAGAATTGTTTTTATTAGCTATGGTTAACTTTACTGAGAGCGCATCCAACAACTTTCCACTCAAATTTGGGACAATCGCTGACTCGTTGACCTATAAACATCACATTTTCGTTCGTTTATGAGCTATAGATTACGGCATGGCTTGTTCATAGGTAAAGTTACATCGCTGCATCTCATCCGCCTTACAGTAACTTCATAAAGCTGCGAAATGAGAACGAGTGAACGCGCATCGCAGCTAGATTTCCGTGTTTTTTGGGAAGCTCATCGCATAATAAACTTCGAAATTCGTCCATGACCTGCGTGAGTGTCGTGTGGTCGCTTCGAATCAAGTGAGGATAGTGAGGATAGTTATTACAGTAATTATAGCACGGGCAACGCATCTCTATTCAATGGGACAGGCACCACACACATGCGGAACATCCGTGCATCGCCGCGTGCGCGTCTCTATCGCCGCCCTGCCGAGTTCTCGGATTATCGAGTTATTCGTTTACGATAGCTGCGATTATCCTCTTTGAGGTGTTCGAATGCTCGATAAGTGGTTTCTGACATGCTGTAATAGGATCTTTGCAATTAGCTTAGATTTTACTGTGACACTCGTCTAAGCGCCGTTAAAATACTGCTCTCTCCAGACACCGTACTAGTCTCTTCCGCCTCTCATGCGTCTCGATGCTTCTTCATTTGAACTGTCGTCATTTCTGAATGCAACACATTTTAGTTTTTGCAAGGCTGATATGTAAACACCAAGTTTTGTCTTCCAAATAAATGAAGCAGAATCTATGCTCGGTATTTTTTATGATTTTTGCACAGATCCACGAAGAGCTCATGATCTATTTG